GGTGTTGTTAAAGATTCTTTAGCTAAATTAAGAGAAGGATTAGAAAAACGTAGGAGGGAAAGAGAGGCCAATTCCGGCTTGTTTGAAGGCTGGTTTAGAACTTCTCCTTGGCTCACCACTCTAATATCCACCTTAACCGGCCCTCCATGCGTGTGAGGTCAGCTAACGGCCCTTATAAGGCACAACCTAGGGTCCCTCATCATGCTCACCAAGGTGGTGGAAAAGGTAGCTAATGAATAACACCCCCAAGACCCTTGGGTCAAATTGGCCTTTCAAAAAAATTAACACCAAGGTGTAATCTCCTGTTTGGCCTCAGCTTGGTTGGATAGTCAATGACGGGTTAGATCCCCCATGGTGGGGACAACCTAAGACAGGCACAACTGCACAAGACCAATACAGGTTCTTTCAGCCTTGGCTTGGTTGGATAGTCAATGACGGGTGAGATCACCTAACAGGGGGGGTGGACAACCTAAGACAGACACAATCACACAAGGCTTCTATTAAAACAAAAAGGGGGAAGTATGGGACCATGCAATTTTTCTAAGCAAAAACAACAGATGGCCTAAACAGATAAAAGGTGGCACCCAAGGGAAGTTAAGGGGGAGGTTAAGCATAAAGAGACAAGGCATGTGCACATTTGACCTTTTCAAGGATTGGCCTAAGCTTGGAAATTCCCGCCTGCTAAGCATATAAATATGATCTTTTGTGTTACAATAAACGGAACTGCCTGACAGAACCCGGGCTGCATGCGTATGTGTTTGTTCCTTATCTGGCAGAGCAGCAGCGTGCTCATCCATCTCTTGGAATCTCTTTTCACCCCATGTCCTGGGGGGGGAGAAAAGGGCAATCCTTTGGCCCCAAACCTCTAGGGAAAGGAAAAACCTGTTGGGGTCCTGTGCACCGGTCAGAGATGCCCAACAGCATGCTACTTTTAGATTTAAATATTATAGTTGAATTCATAATATATACATATTGTACAAAATTCAAAATGTATAAGGATATAAGAAAAGGTAAATGTCGCCTTTCTATGCTTTCAGCCTCCTAAGAAGCAGCCACTCTTACTATTTCTCAACAGATGGCGTGTTTATTTTCCACCAGAGTATCATTTATCTTCTCATTTTCTTCACGGTGCTTCTGCCACACAATTTTTTTTTTTAATTTCTTTGCATTTGCATTTTGTCATTTTTTTTTATGGCTTCTGGGATTTATGTCATACTCAAAGGCCTTCTCTAATAAGGCCTTGTTTTAAATTCTCCCATGACTTATTCTAGTATTTTTATGTCTTCATTTTTTTTTATATTAAAATCTTTGATAGAGCTGGAACTAGAGTGATCCTAAAGACTGAGAAACAGATCCAAGCAGGTTTTTCCCAGGTTCCTGCCACATGTATTCTAACATTATTAATTGAAGAGTGTATCTTTTCTCCATTCATGTAAAATATCAAATTTCTCCTCATAGACCTGAGTATATTTCTGGACTCTATTTATGAGCCAGTACCTCGAGGTTTACATTATGTTTTAAAACCTGGGAGTTCTAATCCTTTCAAATTACCGTTTTTAGATTTTTCTTGGCCAGTTTTACATGTGAATTTTAGAACCAGTCATCAAGTTAAAAAAAAAAAAAAAAAAAAAACTTGTCCAACCATGTATTAATATGATATTTAAGTTATATATTAATTTAGGGAGAACCAACTTCTTTATAATGTCCACTTTAACTATATAAGAACTAGTATCCCTTTCCTTTTTGTTCATGTTTCTGTTCATATCCTGCATACTTATTTAAGGCATTTTTATATATTGTTTTCATATTTGGTTTTTTTCTAAGTTAAAACATACTTTACCTTTTTTCCCTGATATGATTGGGATTGTTTCTCCCAATATTCTGTGTTACAGGTAGTTTGTATATAAAATGGCTATTAATTTTTGAATTAATTTTTATGTATTTTTAATTTTTAAAAAGTTTCATTTTAATATTTATATCCAGCCACATGACTGAATTATTTTGTATCTAATAGTTTTTCATTTCTTTTCTAGGTTTTCCAGATATAAATGATATAACCTGCAAACAGTTATGAGTTTACCTCCTCCTTTCCAAATTTTTATACCTTATTTATTTTTCTTGTGTAGCTCTATTGACTAGTATCTCCAGAAGAATTTTAGATAACAGTTGTGGTAATAAATGGTATCCTTTGTTTCTGACTTTTTACACCTCTAGTGTTACTTCACGGAACCAAAATGCTGATTTCGAATGAGATGTATTTTGTTCTATCACAGAAATCTAACTGTTCACACTAAAAGATTTTTCAATCAGGAATGGATGTTGAATTATGTCAAGTACCTTTTTCATCATTCTTAGGGTTGATTATGTGATTTTTCTCCTTTGACCATCAACATGTTGAATTACCACAACAGATTTCCTGATATCGAACCATCCTTATATTTCAGATATCCACTAGGTAATGGTATATTCATTTTGCTGTTGTACTCCTAGTTTCTACTTAACCTTGTATTATGTGGTTATTTACATGTAGGATTGATTTTTAGTTCCTTATTTATATTTAACTTTTTAAATTTTGGCATGAATATTAGATTCATTCCGTAAAAAATGCATTTCTTCCTCTTCTACATGCTGAAAAAGTTCGAATACTGAACATGTGTTTAAACGTTCAACACTGAAGTTGCCTGTGCCTTTAAATTTTGCTGGGATGATTCACCTGTGAAATCATATGTGCTTGGTGCATGTGGGGATGGGGTGGGAAGAAAGAATTTTTACTTTCCTGTCCTATGGTAGCTGGCATCCTTCGATTTTTCATATCTTGTTTAGGGTAATTTTTGGTAATACATTATTTATTGACAATTATCAATTTTATCGGCATATATGGATATTAACAGACAACCAAACAAATTAATGTCACATTATTCTTCTAATTTCCAGTGCAAGTGTAATTATGCCCCCATTCTCTGATATTGTATATCTGTGCTTTCTTTTAGAAATTATGGAATGAACGATTCAGATCTCTGTAGAAGAATATGAAATTGATTTGCTATTTCTGGGGGAACTGAAATAAAAATTACCTCAGGCATAATTCTTCTTAAATATGAAATAATAGTTATAACTTTTATATACATGTTAGCTGCTTGCAAACATCTTTTAATAAAAATACTTTTTTGGATCCATTTCTTGATGCTGTTTAACATGTTTGTTCTCAAATTCATGAACATTATCCACACCAATTTCTTTACAGAAGTGTTAAAAAATATCACCTTCTAACTCTTAAATTATTTTAAAATAGCTAGTTTAATAATTTTAGGAAACATATACAGAAATGTTTCAATATAAATTTTTCCCTCATTTTTTTGCGTTTTAGGTCAAAAACTAATTCTACCAAACATTCCTGTATTCTGAGGAGCCAGTGCTTTCTCTTCCTTTAAGTCCATAAACTATGTCCATCAAATTTCAAATTTTTTATGCAGAAAACCCATAAAGAAAACTTGCAAACTGGCCTTACTAAGTGTTTGGTTTTATAAAGTGTTTAATATAAAATTGGAATAATTTAGTCATTCACTTTAGTCACACCAAAATATAACATTCGATGTAAACAGAGAAAACATTCTTTATCTATGAGTGATACTGCAGCATCTTAGGCAGTTTAAAAAAGAGAGGAATAGAGTGGAGAATTAAGAATCAAAAAGATGTGGGAAAACTAGAGTGAGCTAAATCCACCAAAGTGAAATTCAACTCAAATATTTTGAAACTCCTGGGTTTATGTACAATTATAGGATGAGAGAGACATGTCTTAACAGCAGAACATGTTAAGAACTTTCAGATTTTAGTTGAATGTGCATTAAATATAAATGTAATAAGACTGATGCAGTAGATTGATCCAATTAGCGCAAGTAGATAATCCAAATCATGGAAAGTTATAATTATATGCACAGAGTCCCATGATACTCTGTACTAGTGAGAAAATATTTTGACATTATGCCCCCTTCTGGGCATTGACAAACAAAAAAGTGCATGTGGGGATTGGGTAGGAAGGAAGCATTTTTCAGAGGATGATTACCAAAACCGGCCTTAAATGCATGGTAACGTGAAATGATAAAAGAAATTAGGGATGTTTAACCTTAAAAAGAGATAATTAAACAGCAGCATGAGTCCGGTTTCAAATCATGTGATAAAAGTAGAACTAAAAGCAATAGGTTGAAGTTACAGAGTCGTGATCTGACAAATAACACTTGGAAGATTAGAGATAACCAACTGGGGAACAAATTAGAAAGTTCCTGTCACTTTATAAGCAGAGGCTAGATAACCAATTCTTTATTGCCCCAAGAGTCAAGCACCATGCCTGGCATTTAATAGATGTTAGAAAAAAATAACTACTGAGTAATTGAGGAGCCTTAAAAGATAACTGGAATGACAGTTCACTCCCTTCTGGTGTCAAGGACAGTGGGGGAAAGGAAGAGACTAATTTTTCCAATGGGCATCAAGAGACTGAACAGAAGGAAGTGTGCACTGGTCACTGCCTCTTAAGATGGGCAACAGTGGTTCTCAAAAGATGCAAGGAAACTAATTTGGCAAACCAATAAAACTTAGCGTACGTGTTCTCTCTGATAGGACAGTGTTAACTATATCATCCTTTGCTTTAGCACACATTCAAGAAGTCCCAAATCTGGTTTCTGGTCTAGAACTATATTCTGTATGTCATTCAAAAATAAATACAACCTTTACGACCTCATCCATCTTTTCTTGAAATTCTTTAATTCTTTGTTGTCTTTTTTTGATTCCTTTGCTCAACGTAGTACATTGAGACTCAATATTTAATAGTTCACTTTGTAGCTGAGATTGTTCCTAATAACAAAGGAGCAAACATTTTTAAACATGCATGATAGGTGTCTTTTAGAATAAAAGAGGTATCCATGAGTTAAGAGGAATTCAAGTATAGTTGGATAACAAGATTAAGTACCATAAAAATAATTAAAGGACAATAGTATAACCTCAATCATAAGGGAAACTATCTAAAAAGTACATGATGCTATCTATAGAATTCCTGAAACTCTGCTGTCATTCTAATTTCCATCACATTTTGTGTAAGTCTGTAGTACCCGGGAAAATGTAGCAAGGTGCTTTTTTATCATCTCTAGTTCACTCTGTGAATATTTGATTCGTGCATAAGTTCCTTGTACTAGAGTCTGTATTTGTTTCAAGTCTGTTTCTTTGTGGAGGGTCTTCATTAAATCCTAAAAAAAGAAGAGAAATATAAGAACATTTTACAGTAGTAAAGCACTTTCTCTTTTCAAATTGCTTTCACATGTAATAATTCACTGATTTGTACATACAACAACACCCTACCTCCCCTTCTTCTTATAAGAGACCAGGCATTTAAGTACATTAGCCATCTGGAATACCCTAGATGCCATATAAACTCCTCAAAAAACTAATATACTTTCCAACAGGAAAGGACTAGGTATGAAAAATGAAGAACGGGGAGTGGACGTGTTCCCCTCAACACAGAGAAACAGCACCAGCAGGACGGCGTGACTCACTGCCTCACTTTCCAGGCATCCTTGTCTTTCTGCTTTCCTCCCCCAATCCCTTCTCCCTTCCCTCACCTTATTACTCAAACAAATTAACTCCCTCATATATGTTCTGTATTTTTACTCCA